CCGTCTCTGTTCTTCCCACTCTTCCTGTCTGCTCTTTGCTCAGATTAGTCCACCTTCAGCTCTCGCAATGCTCAATGTCTCAGGTGTCTTTATGTGTTCAGCAGGGAACCCTTTGTTGGATTATAGCTGACCCTCTTGTAACTTCAAGAGGAGAGATTAGAGGTCCTCTCATGTCAGCATGCTGCTGATGTCACCAGTTTTTGGTTTTTCATTTTCTTATAATGTCCTCATCTGATTTTTGTATCAGGATTATAGAGGCCTCATAAAATGAGTCGGAGAGTATACACTTTTTTTTTCTTTTTTCTTTTTGGATTTGTGTAGAATTGGTATTATTTCTTCCTTAAATGTTAGGTAGAATATACCAATGAAGCCATCTGGGTCAGGATTTTGCGTGTGTGTTGTGGTGAGTGGAGGCGTGACGTATGAATTCCAGTCCTTAAATGATATAAGATTATTAAAGTTTTACATTTCTTCTTAGGTGACTTTTGGTAATTTGTGACTAAATTTATTAATGTTATCTAAGTTGTCAAATTTATAACATTATTTATAACATCCTCTCCTTATATTTTTAATGTCTCCAAGATCTGTATGATACATCTTTTTATTCCTGATATTGGTAATTTGTTTCCTTCCTTTATTCTTTCTCAATCTTTAAAAGAGTTTATTGGTTTCATTAATTTTTTAAGAACTTCTGGCTTTGTTTAATTTCCTTTCATCATTACTTTCTGATCTTGATTTATTGTGAACTGTCTCAACTTCCATTGTACTTTATTATGTCTTTTTCTGATAGAAATCATTAATTTTACACCTTTTCTATAAGCATTTAAAGCAATACATATTCTCTAAGGATTTAGCTACATGTCACAAATTTCGATAATTTCATTTTCTTTATTATGTGGTTCAAAGTATTTCTAACTTATCTTGTTATTCCTCTTTGACCCTTGGATTCTTTAGTAGTATATTATTTAATTTCCCAAATACTTAGGAATTTCGTAGGTATCTTTTTGTTACTGACTCCTAGTTTAATTCCATTTGATCAAAGAACACCTTCTGTATGATTTCATCCTTTAAAATATATGGCCCAGCATATGTATGGTCTTGCTTGGTGAATGTCCCATCTGCAATTAAATAAAATGTGTATTTTGCTGTTGTTGGTTGAAGAGTTCTGTGAATGGCATTTGATAGTGTTGTTCACGTCTTCCACATTCTTAATGATTTTTTGTCTATTTGTTCTGTTGGTTTCTGAGAGAGGAGTGTTGAAATATCCACCTATGATTGTGGATCTGTTGGCATTTCCCTTTAATACTGTCAAATTTTGCTTTATTGGAAGCTTGTTTATTAGATACATACACACTTAAAATTGTTTTTATTTTCTTGATTGATTGGCCATTTTCTAATTTTTAATGCCTTTTTTAAAAATAATACCCTTCATTTTTAATGCTACTTTGCCTGATAGCAGTGTAGTCATCCAGCTTTCTTACAGTTAATATGTGTGCATAATATGTTTTTCCATCTTTTCAGCTTGTTAGTGTGTTCAGAGTGTGTTTCTTGTAAACATCATATAGTTGTGTCTTGCTTTTTTTTTTTTTTTTTTTTTTTTTTTAGCTGAGCCATCCTGCCA